CAAAAGAAAAGAAAAAAAAAAAAAAAACAAAGTTTAGAGGCCCGAGGCCTTACAGCACACAACAAAACAAAAGCTAAACAAACCAAGCAACAAAACCATGAAGAACTACTGAGGACAAAACCAAGCTGACCTAGGAGAGATGAAGGGATTAATAGCCCGAGGACAAAACTAAGCTGGCCTAGGAGGGATGAAGGGACTAACAGCCTGTATATTGGGCAGTATAAGATACTGAAGCCCTGAGACTAACTAGTAGAGAAACTCATACCAACTTAACAATTGAACAACCGAACCTTGCTAGAAAAAGAAAACCCAACAAGCAACTAACTAACAGAGGAGAACTCAAGTCAATTTAAAAAAGTAGAGTCAACAATAGGCTTCTCGGCATGCCGGCTGCCACTGGTTTTTGAAGACCTCAAGGTTTCTGGATTTTCATAACCACCACAAGATGTAGGTGTTTAATTGAATCATTTCCTCAGCTTCTTTGTTATTCTGCATCAGGCATATTATCTTCCACCAAGCTTTGAAGTAGTTTATATCCTCCTGCATTCTATCCGACTCACAGGCGCTAACCTCCAGACCATCTTGGCTCTAGGGAAATTGAAAAGCAGGTGTTCTACTGCTGACGGATAAGAAATAACCTTCATGTCTCTTATCTCTTGAGGTGTGTTGAGACATGTTTTTAGACAGAGGGATTCTATGCCGAAAAGACAATTGTCCTTTCTTAGAATCCTGTATGTTGAAACGTGCCAAGACAGTATGTACGAGTATTGAGATAAACATAACATTCTCTTTTCACGATCTCGAATGACCTTGATCCTGAGAATGTGTCTTGCTTTTCCAAGATCTTTCATATCAAACAGCTTGGACAAGCATACCTTCGGTATGAGAAACATCAAATAAACGGACTGTTTTCAGTTAAGAAGTCAGAATATGCCAATGTGTAAAATTGTTGGGTCGTTGGAATCATTTTTGATTGGTCGGTTCCCTGTTGAATTGGTCGGTTTAGTCTGATTTCAAACAATATTTAATTATTTATAATAAAATTTGTATTTGTGTAAACTACCAAGTAGAGAGCAATATCAATTTATACAAATTAACTATTGTTGTGTTTACTGCATTTAGTTTCATAATAAATTTGTTATGAAATACGAGCAATATAAAGAACACAATGTATAAAAACCGGAACAATTATAATCTGATTTCTTTCTTCACTTTTCCGTTCACTTTCGAGTGTATCAAATGTTACACATTTCTTGCCTTTTATAGGCTAAGTTGGCACACCTTTCTATACATATATTAATATAATAATAAAAGTGATAATGTGGTTAATTCCACATATTTACAATACTCCCCCTTGGAATTACCACAATTAAATGTGCGCTTATGCTGCCTCGTTAAAAACCTTATCTGGAAAAACCCTGTGGGAAAAAACCGAGATAAGGAAAAAAGAGTACAGCCGCACATACTCCCCCTCGAATTATCATCCATGCAAATCCCGAAGATGTCTCATTCCAATATTGTGCACGTGCTTTCGAAATATTGTTGTCGGAAGTGCCTTCGTAAACAAATCTGCTGCATTATCGCTTGATCGGATGTATTGAACATTGATTTGTTTGTTTCGTTCAAGCTCTTGCGCATATAAGAATAACTTTGGCGGGATATGTTTGGTTCTGTCACTCTTGATGTATCCTTCTTTGGTTTGAGCGACACATGCTGCATTGTCTTCGTATATCACCGTCGGGTCATTATTGTTCGATAGTCCACTGACTTGTTGAATATGTTGAGTCATGTTTCTGAGCCAGATACTTTCCCTAGTTGCTTCATGGAGTGCAATGATCTCAGCATGGTTTGAAGACGTCGCGACTAATGTTTGTTTTTGGGAGCGCCAAGAAAATGCAGTTCCGCCAATCGTAAAAACATATCCAGTTTGAGATCTTGCTTTATGGGGATCTGAGAGATATCCTGCATCTGCAAAACCTATTATTTCATTTTTTTATCGTTAGAATAAAACAGTCCCAAATCGATTGTCCCTTGGAGATAACGGAATATATGCTTAATTCCATTCCAATGTCTCCTCGTAGGTGCCGAGTTATATCTCGCCAACAAGTTGGTAGCAAAAGATATATCTGGTCTGGTGCAATTTGCAAGATACATAAGAGCCCCTATTGCACTCATATATGGTATTTCAGGACCAAGTATTTCTTCATTTTCATCACAAGGTCGAAATGGATCCTTTTCGACATCTAATGTTCGATTGACCATTGGGGCACTAAGTGGATTAGCCTTGTCCATATTGAATCGTTTCAGAATTCTTTTAGTGTAATTAGATTGATGGACAAATATCCCATTTTGGACCCGTTCTATTTGCAAGCCGAGACAATATTTGGTCTGCCCGAGGTCTTTCATTTCAAACTCGCCTTTTAGTAAAGTGACTGCTTCTTGAATTTCATTTGTAGTCCCAATAATATTAAGATCATCGACATAGACAGCAATTATCACAACTTCATCTTGTGATCTTTTTATAAAAACACACGGGCATATTTGATTATTTATGTACCCACGTTTCAGTAATTGTTCACTCAAACAATTATACCACATACGCCCGGATTGTTTCAAGCCATACAATGATCTTTGCAGTTTTATTGCACATAACTCTTTAGGTTTGGACTTTAGTGCCTCGGGAATTCTAATTCCTTCTGGAATTTTCATATAAATGTCAGCGTCTAACGATCCATATAAGTAAGCAGTCACAACATCCATAAGACGCATCTCAAGATTTTCATGGATGGCCAAACTAATCAAGTATCTGAAAGTAATCGCATCCATAACAGGGGAATATGTTTCATCATAATCGATCCCAGGCCTCTGGGAGAATCCCTGTGCTACAAGACGAGCTTTATATCTTGTGATCTCGTTTTTCTCATTTCTTTTTCTGACAAAAACCCATCTGTACCCAATAGGTTTTATGTCTTTGGGTATAATGGTTATAGGTCCAAAAACCTTTCGTTTATTAAGCGAATTTAACTCGGCTTGAATAGCACCTTTCCACTTGTCCCAGTCATGTCTTTTCTGACATTCAATCATAGACTTTGGTTCAGGATCCTCAACTTCTTTGTCAATTTCTTGTGATACCATATATGCGAATGCATCATCAATGATCTCATCACGCTTCCAAAGTTTCCCATTATTTACATAATTGATGGAGATTTCAATATTTTCATTTCGTTCCAAAATTTTTCCATCATCTTGATTCCTTTTCAAATTCGAATTTTGAATTTCTCTTTTCTTTCGAGAATTCTTATCTTTAGACCCCACTGGTCTTCCTCGTTTCAATTGTGCCTTTAATTCATTTGGCACATCGTCATTTGCCATTTCTTTTGGAATCTCAATTCGAGCAGGGGCATTTATAGCTGCAACATGTGATTTTGTCACCCTTTTTGTATCAGTAAATGCATCTGGCAATTGATTTGCAATATTCTGCAGATGTATAATCTTTTGAACTTCTTGCTCTCTTTGTTTGGTGGGAGGATCAAGATATGACAGTGATAATGTTCTCCATTCAATATTTTTCTCAATTGACTTTTCATTCCCACCTAAAGGGGGAAACAGTTCTTCATTAAAATGACAATCATCAAATCGAGCTGTAAAAACATCACCTGTTTTTGGCTCAAGATATTTTATTATTGATGGAGATTCGTATCCAACATATATTCCCAACCTTCTTTGAGGCCCCATTTTCGTACGTTGGGGCGGAGCAATTGGTACATACACTGCACAACCAAAAATTCTAATATGTGCAATATTTGGTTCTCGACCAGATGTCAACTGTAATGGCGAGTATGTATGGTGTGCACTTGGTCTTATGCGAATTAGATTATCTGCATGCAGAATAGCATGTCCCCATACTGAAGTGGGCAGTTTTGTTCTCATTATCAATGGTCTGGCTATAAGTTGTAGTCGTTTAATCAATGATTTTGCTAGACCATTTTGAGTGTGAACATGTGCTACAGGATGTTCAACATCAATTCCCACTGCCATACAATAATCATTAAATGCTTGAGATGTAAATTCTCCAGCATTGTCCAGCCTGACCCTTTTTATAATATAATCTGGGAATTCAGCCCTTAGTTTGATAAGTTGGGCAAGCAATTTAGCAAATGCCACATTTCTAGTGGATAACAAACTCACGTGAGACCATCTACTAGAAGCATCAATTAACACCATAAAATATCTGAATGGACCACAAGGTGGATGAATAGGTCCACATATATCACCATGAATCCTTTCTAAAAATAATGGTGATTCATGCCCGACTTTAGTATGTGATGGTCTTATTATCAATTTCCCTTGAGAACATGAGGTACACGTCAATTTACGTGTTTGCAATATCCTCTGATTTTTTAACGGATGTCCACTAGAATTTTCAATAATTCTTCGCATCATTATCGAGCCAGGATGACCAAGTCTATCATGCCAAAGTTTAAACATTTCATTCGCCTGTGACTTTGTTGCAGCATAAGTCTCAATAATATAAATGCGGGTGTAATATAAGCCCGATGATAAAGCTGGCAATTTCTCCAAAACACATTTATTTCCCGCAACATTTGAGGTAATGCAAAGATATTCAACTCCCCCTTCATTCATTGTTTCAACATGGTATCCGTTCATTCGGATATCTTTAAAACTCAACAAGTTTCTTGTTGATTTCGGGGAGAATAATGCATCATTCAATGTAAACTTTGTTCCTCCCATCATAAAAAATATGGCTTTTCCAGAACCCTCAATTATCTTTGCATTTCCAGATATTGTGTTTACTTTTGCTTCATTTAATTTCAAGTTGACAAAATATTTTCTGTCCTTGAGTATAGTATGAGTTGTGGCACAATCAGCAAGACATATATCTCCATTTTGAATTCGAGACCGATCCATGATCTAAAAGAAAAACAACATTTATTATTGATTAAAGTCGAAATACAGATAAAAACACACAAATACAACAAACTTAGAAAGTAATAAAAACAACAACATGATCATCAGTTATTCTCTTGATCATTTCCAGCTCTGTCTTCAAATACTGCATCAGCAAAATCTAGGTTCAACATGTCATCGATGTCGTAGTCATCATCTACACGTGTTGTATCATTTGCAGAGGATTCCCCAACTATAAAGTTAGTTTCTACATTTTTATCTTTTGATTTCTGGGAATCATTATATTTATCAACCACGTGTTTCGGAGCACGACAGTTTCGTGCCCAATGCCCCGTCTTTCCACATCGATAACATGCATTTTCATTATTATTTTCCGTCACATTATTTTGTTCAAATTTTGGGTGGAAATTTCTCCCCCTTTCAAAATTTTGGACATAGCCACGGCCTCGTCCACGATAATTCCCTCGGCCCGAGTTGCATCCTCTGTGAAATTTGAAGCCTTGGTCAAATCGGCGATCTGGGCCATATCCACGGCCACGGCCACGGCCACGTCCACGTCCACGACCCCGGCCACGTCCCGAGGTATATCCACGCATATATGTTTGGCTGTTTTCAGTTCTGGTTCCCTGTTTAGATATTACAATATTTATTTCAGGGACCGCAGTAGACCCCGTGGGTCTAGATTCAAGATTTTTCATCAACAACTCGTTATTTTATTCAGCCAACAACAAACAAGAAATCAACTCAGAATATTTTACAAAGCCTTTTGCTCTGTATTGTTGCTGCAATAATACATTTGAAGCGTGGAACGTGGACAACGTTTTTTCCAGCATATCGTAATCAGTTATATTTTCTCCGCATAATTTTAACACCGAACAAATGCGGAACATGGCCGAATTGTATTCGTTAACAGTTTTGAAATCTTGGAAACGTAAATGCATCCATTCGTAACGAGCCCGGGGGAGAATCACCGTTTTCTGGTGATCATACCTTTCTTTCAAGGCTTTCCATAGATCCGCAGGATCTTTAACAGTTAAATATTCATTTTTCAAAGCCTCATTCAAATGATGCCTCAGAAATATCATTGCTTTAGCCCTTTCTTGTATTGATGAATCATTCGGGGATATTATTGTTTTTTCCAATCCCCTTGCCGCCAAATGTATTTCGGCATCCAATGTCCATGCTATATAATTTTTTCCAGAGATATCGAGAGCTTCGAATTCGAGTTTGACCAGATTTGCCATGATAACTATAAAATAAAACATCAATGCTTAGATTTGAAAAGTTACATATACAATCACTAATTCTTCAATACGTACATAAGAACAAATACTAAACACATTATACAAAGGCCTAATACATAAAATTTAAATCCAACAGTACGATACATCATTTTGAAAATTAGGAAAACATATATAATAAACAAGATAATGGTAATTATAAGTAATGGATCAAACATTTTTTTTTTCTTATAAAGAAAATATATTTTGAGTGTTTGTATTATGAAAATGAATTGTAGTGATATATATAGATATTGGTAAATAGTCGTTACAATATAGCCGTTAACTAGCCGTTGGAAACAAATTTAATGATATAATATTTGCTAATTAATCATTTATGATCATAAAATTCTAATTAATCATGTATATTACCTTAAAGATTTTCCGAATTATTTGATGAACATTTTCGCGAATATAACAAAGTAAGTAAAAAATGCTCCACATTATTTGATAAATTTTATGGTAAGTACAAGAATAAACAGTTATAAATTTCACGCCACATTACTGGGTAAACCATTTTTATGGGTGTTAAGTATAAAAATAACATTTATTACAACTTGAAAAATAATTCATAAGCAAATTTAATATTATCATATCACCACATATTATTGGCTATGGCATAGCCTAATTTGCCAATAATAATGGTAATGTGTATATAATATCATATTTAGTATACATATCTTGACTGTGACAGAGCCAAACTTGTCAAGAATAATAGTAATATATATATATCCTTGACTGTGGCAAAGCCTAACTTGTCAAGAATAATGGTAATATGTATATATATCCTACCTTTCTTGACCGGGTAGAGCGTTCGTGCTGATAACGTGTTATAAAATGCGAGCAATATAAAGAACACAATGTATAAAAACCGGAACAATTATAATCTGATTTCTTTCTTCACTTTTCCGTTCACTTTCGTGTGTATCAAATGCTACACATTTCTTGCCTTTTATAGGCTAAGTTGGCACACCTTTCTATACATATATTAATACAATAATGAAAGTGATAATGTGGTTAATTCCACATATTTACAATAAAATTAAATTTGTTGCCATAATGAGTATTTTATTAAAAAAAAATATATATATATTAAATATACCTTTCAATAATATATTCGTATTTTGTATCTTTTAGGCTGACACATAGGATTTCACCTTTCCCAAAACTCTCAAATACTCGTCGTCCAGCGACAGAGGGACCTCTCTGTAATTATATGGAAGAAAACGAGGATTCCGCAGAGGAAATTCAAATTCTCTCCGCACACGCTCACATGTACGTGTAATTCTTCTACTTTTACTTCCGCGGCGGGGGCGCAGCATTAGGGGCGAGTGCGAGAGGAGGAGATGGGCAAATTGACTTTCCGGCGGAGAAAGAAGGCCGCGCCGCCGACGCAGTTGCCTCCTCTTCCTACCCCGCCGTCCGTCGAGTTGGCGGCGACGACGACGAGCAAGGCGGCCGTGAAGAAGAAAGCGGGCGGGTCGAGGCTCTGGATGAGCATGGATCGGTTAGGGCAGTCCGAGCTGATGGAATGCGACAAGAACTTTATTATTAAGCGCGTCTCGATTCCCGCCAGGGACTTGCGAATTCTCGGGCCCATCTTCTCCCATTCCTCTAGCATCCTAGGTAAAAACCCCCAATTTCTCTTTTTCATCTCTTTCTTTTAGTGCTTATTTTATGCCTTTCTTCTGTAAAATTGTCCTTTATCTTGCTGAATTTGGTGACATAATTTGGTGACATGAATTGGGCACTTTGTTTTTTTATGGAAATGATTTCTCATCTCTGGATGTGGGTAATTCAGAATAGAAGATTTCTGAGTACTTCCTATACCTTTTATTTCAAATTTTCAACAAGAAAATGTTAATGGAGTTCTTGTATATTGAAGAATTTATTAAGGAACAGTGGTTAGTTTATATTTTGGCCCAACTTTGGCCATATTTCAAAGCCTTAGATTTATTAAATAGATGTTTTTTCGATAATATTATCTTCTCATTTGCTTATGCAGCTAGGGAGAAAGCCATGATTGTTAACTTAGAATTCATAAGAGCGATAGTTACTGCAGAAGAGGTATTGTTACTCGATCCTCTTCGCCAGGAGGTTCTGCCATTTGTTGATCAGTTGAGGCGACTGTTGCCACAGAAAAGCCCATCTAATTATGTGGCAGACCAAACGGTCCCTAAAGATAATGAAATTCATTCTCCTACTGCTGCACAATGGTTACCTGTTCCTGAAGGCGGTGAAGGTGAGCAGGATGAGCTTCCTTTCGAGTTCCAGGTCCTGGAAATGGCATTAGAGGTTGTCTGCACGTATTTGGACTCTAACGTTGCTGAACTCGAGAGAGATGCTTACCCTACTCTGGATGAATTGGCCATAAGCGTTAGCACCAAAAATCTTGAGCATGTGCGGAGCTTGAAAATCAACCTCACTCGTTTGCTTGCACGGGTACAAAAGGTAAACATGTTTGTTCGTCCATTGTTCCCGCATGAAAATATATTCTATGGCTAGGGCTATAGATATTGCCTGATAACAGTCTGGAGTTTCTGTTAGAAAATTAAATCAAGAAGAGGCAACTTCATGCAAATGGGTGTTTTCTGTATGCCCTTGTCTAATGTCCATTTTGAATAATTCTTTGTTCTTATCAAATATAGTTTGATAACTTGTCGAAGAATGCCTTTTTGTGTCTTATCTCATCTTAAATGTAATATTAGGTGTTTGGTGTGATTTTTAACCAATATTATGTGGATATAATTTCAGTGGTTGCATCGTATATGTCAGCAGTGGGTTCCCAGAACATGACGCTATTATGAGGCAATTATGTGTCTTCCACTATAATTAGTTGATTGATAATTGATACTTGATCGTAATGCTGTGTGAGCTTAAAACATTGTCTGATGATAAACAATATGGTTTTCTAGGCATGATTTTCCAAAAGCTTTTCAGTGTTGAGCTTGTGTGGTGTTGGGTTGTCGGAATGTCATTATTCCAAATAAATTTTTGTAGAGCTTGTTTATATTACCAAAGCAGTTTTTACTTTTTATCCATCTGTTATCATCTCCTTATTGAAAGCACTACTAATCATTTCGAGTGATTCTTATCCTCTCCTTACCACCAATTTCTTTTAATCGAGAGAGATGCTAGGCAGTTAGTGTCTCCAAAGTTTCAAGGAGAGGAAAAATGAAACGTCTTGTCCGGTACCTATAAATGGAACTAATTTTTGGTAACTGAAAAACTTCAATAAATAAATAATGAGATTAAATTTTAGAAGAGTTTATGAGTGCTAGGTACATATCATTAGGTTTCTTTGAGCTAAAGATATGTCTTATAGTTTATCAGGAGTAAACATTTTTCCATGTATGCACCTTGAAAATGTTAAAAAAGAAGGGAATAAAAGTTGTAGAAAGAGTTTATAAATGCTATGTATATAGTTATATACGATTGCTTCTTTTCTTTGAAATATGGATGTCTAATTAGAAGGGGCAAAAAAATTTGAATTCATTAGAGAACTCTCGTTTGACTATGTCATTATATCTTACTGAAACATGGTGAAAACCCCATATCTTTGGGATGATAGGTTAGAGATGAAATAGAGCATCTTTTAGACGACAATGAAGACATGGCCCAGCTCTACTTAACACGGAAATGGATACAACAAAACCAACAATTCGAGGCCCAATATGCAGACCCCCCATCAAACAGCATAATCCCTGCTGGACCGGCCCATTTCCGCCGGCTCAGCTCCACCAAAAGTGGCAGTCTCTTGAGCAACTACCATCAAAATGACAATGACGATGTGGAGGACCTAGAGATGTTGCTCGAAGCCTACTTCATGCAATTGGATGGTACACGTAACAAAATACTCTCTGTAAGTATTTTTCTTCATCTTTTCCCACCTAAGCAGAGGCATCCTTCTCTTTCTTGATCCATCTAGCTTTCCTCGTGCTGTTTTTTGATTACACAATTGTTCAATATGTTGTATGTGTATTGATACTTTCTAATAATAATAATAGCCACTTATTCCCCTTCCTTCTGTTTGATTATGAAGGAACAAAGCTAAACCACCCCCGGCTCTCCTCTTACCCCTCTTTGGTTTGTCTTTTCTTATAGTAGATTCCATTTGAGGGACTACATGAATTAAGGGTCTAAATGTGTATATAAATTGAGAATTTACAACAAAAATGCCCTTGACATTTACCATTCCTACAAACAGTTACCAGAACCTTTGAGAATTTCTCCGAACTTCCATAGTTTCACGACTGCCTCTACTCATGGTTTGCAGTTAATGTACAAACAACCAATTTCAGTACAGTTGCATGCCTTAAATATGAAAATTTGTCAGAGTTGATTTGCATTTTTTATAGGTAAGTTTTTCCTTTGTAAAATAAAGAAATGGCATCAAGGTAACCATTAAGGTTAGTATTTGAATAGTTAGCTATTTATGTATAATTTTTGCTCTTCCCACACCATCCCAACAAAATAATCATGTAACTCTTAAACAATATTGATATTGCTGTTATTTTGTATGCTAGGTTCGCGAGTACATTGATGACACAGAGGATTATGTCAACATCCAACTCGACAACCAAAGAAATGAACTCATTCAGCTTCAACTGACATTGACAATTGCAACATTTGCCATAGCAGTTGAAACTGCTATGGCAGGGATATTTGGTATGAATATTCCATGCACACTGTACAATATTAATGGTATTTTTGATGATGTTGTCTGGATCATGACTGCCGCTTGTGTGGTGCTGTTTATTGTCGTGATGGCCTATGCCAGATGGAAGAAGCTTATAGGCTCTTGAAATAAATTGTCCTCCAGGAATTTATTGTTGAAACCAACTTGTGAAAAACACAGAAGCAGAAAAAGTAAATAAAAAAGAGTTCTTGATGTTTTTTCTCGGTGCTGAAGTTTCTTACACCGTAATATATTAGCATTTATTTTTCTCCTTATATATGGTCAGGAGCAGTACTGCGTTTGTGATTCTTTCTTGTGCTTCCATGGCTGTGAGCCATACTTTCTTTTGTGTTCTTTCAATTTTGGGAATAGGATAACAAATTGGCAATCAAGTGTGTCCATATTTGTATTCCTTATTTCTCTAGTTATTTATACGTTGGCTTTTATAATCTGGTTTTTATTTTATGTATATATTAATTCCTATATGAGAGAGTGCGCTAAAGGCCTATGATGAAGATCGTGTATCGAACTACTGAGATTTGTGAAAACCAGAACTGAATGGCCATCGGTTAACACACGCTTTTAGTGCTCGAACGAGCAGTTTTTGATTTCTTATTTGATAAGTTATCCAAATGAAGAATACAAGATTTTTAAAGAAATGAAAAATATAGCAATTGCCACTAAAGTCATAAGAATCGCCAAATGACTGAACAAAGCAAAATAAATAGGAAATTTGTTGATCAATCCTCCAGTCTTGCGAATCGCTTGTCGCTGCCGCGACGTGCATCGCGGGGGTGACCTTGGACGCCTACAGTCTCTGTCTGCTCGCGATGCGATGGGTATCACGGCGAGCCCGAGTCTGCTCGATGGGTATCGCGATGCGATACGGAGCGCGACGGGGAGTTCGCGGGCGGTTTTGTTGCTGCTGCGATTGCATCTATGGCTCTGGTTCGCGCCTTGGCGAGGCTTTGTGGCGCGAGGCTTGTTCTCGTTGCTATGTGTTGGTCCATTGTCCTCGTGCGGTTGTGCTCGAGTGCCTAGTTCGCATCATTCCCGCCTTCTTCGAGTATATCCTTGTCCTCAAGGATAAAGTTCGAAAATTGATCACGGATGTCTCATCTTAGAAAACAATTCTTCACCCCCTTC